CATGTGCTCTTAAGCATTCTCTAATGTGCTCTCAGGCGTTCCTGAAAACAAACATTATTTACAGGTTAGCGAGAGGGAGGACGTGGGGCATCGCGATGCCTGATAAATCGAACGATAGCGACATTGATATAGTGACGCATTGCGACTGCCCTAATAAAGATATGAACTTGGAACTGGGGATTGGGGCGGACGGGACGCGGAGAGTAAAGCCGCACCTCCAAAATCGTCCAGCTTACAAACTATTAACCTCAATTGCAAGAAATACTGCCAATGCAGAGAATGAAGCGCGAATGCAGTGGTTCTGCTTTGAAATAAAGAACTACTATTCGCCTTGAGCCTTTGCCTTCTCAAAGTACTAAAAAGATGTCCTAGAGAATCAAAAGTATAGTCATCTTTTTTTTTAAAAATAATCATAGCTTTTTAGAAACATTTTTGGCATCGGAAGTTGAAATGAAAACCTCTCGAAATGAATGATTAAATTAGGAACATATAATTTAAAAACAGTAGCCTTAATAGCCTGGAGAAAGGGGGATGAGGGAGAATCTGTTATAATTAAGGAGAGATGAGAATCAGACTTCCATTGCTACATCTGACGAGCCGCCACTGCTACACTGGTCGAATGGGCTTTTCGTGTATGCTACTGTGAGTCTCTCACAGGAAGTCAACATTGAAATGCCACATTTCAAAGTGTTACCGTCAATTTTCATATCATAGAAGCATCGATCTGCATGTTAGGTGGTGAGTCGATACGTCCCGTAAAAAGATATGTAATATTGTCGTTATATCAGAGTAATGCCTGATTTATTCCCGACGGTGGGAAGTGCACGATGAAATGGACGAGAGGGAGTGAAAAGGGGGGAGGAAACGCAAAATAAAAGGGACAGGATGTGGATGAGGGATGTTTCCGGCTCCAGAGCGGTTCCTTCATCCTCGGGACACCTACCGAACGAGAATCAACGAGGAGTAACCCATATTTCCATCCCTCTAGTGTGAAAGGTGCGGGAGCTTCGCCTCCCTCGATTTAATAGCAAAAAAAAAGTGTAGATCGTCGACACAAAAGGAAATCTTGCATGTACAGGTATAATCCCGATGAAAGGAAGAACGGCCTCGCATCCTGTGCTTTATAATCGAATGAAAGGGTCCAAGGCATTCGCGACTTTCTATTCTAACCTTCGGACAAAGGATGGAGCTTCTAGCTCAGAACTCATGAGGTCTTTGCGAAATGGCGAAATTTCACTCGATAGACGAGTGGTCTGGGCGCGACAGGGTATGAACTTGGATTCGCAGGTCATCATCAATAAAAGCTCGGTAATTAAACGAAATTACGCTCTTCATTCTTGTCAAGATGACAGTATGAAATCGAGAATGAAGTGAAATGGGACTCATTGCATCAGGAATGTTAATAATGTGATTCGGTTGACAGTGAAACGGCGAAGGAGGAAGTGTGGCATCTGTAGGATTCCGCACGCATCAAGGCTTTCTCACGACGACGAAAAGAGAGCGCCTTCTCCCCCTCCATATGCGTAAACATCACCTGATCAGGTCCTTTACCTTGTGTGGAGCGGCCTCAACTATCATGATATTTAATAAATGGTTCTCTTTTGTTCAATTCTGCGTTCACCTCCTTTCAACTGTGGGCTTCACGTTCGTGCGGATCACCACACAGAAAGTCAATCGGAAGCTATTCGTATCAAGAAATGTAGGTTGAAGCATTTCGGACCCAAGAGCTAGACGTTTCTCGTGAGGGAGTGGACTCGTATCGAGAGAGATTTGTTAAGGCTACGAAGGAATCATGGGATTATAGTGCATGCGGTATTCTTACTTACCTCTCTATTCTTTGGAACTCATCCTCTTACGTAATGCCAAATTTAATTTAATCACCGAATGCGTTTGAAGAGACTCAAAGCAAATTATTTCACACAACACAGGCCTAATTATCATTCTGAAACTTGGGGCTAGTAGTTGAGCCAACTTGGGTCACGTAGGATCCAACCTTCCCAGAAAATTTTCCAGTTTTTTTGTTTTTATTTGCACTAAGTTTAATTTTTGAAGATAAAATGGTGAATTGTATCCACTGGCTTCATGCGTAGAAGGAAGACAGCAACTAGTAAATCATTCGTGTTTTCAAATACTTTCATAGCCTGATATGTTAGCTCGGACTATTCCCCATATGTATCCATACATGTGTATCCATGATGTTCACTCTGTCGCGCTCAACCCAATGCGTGTTGAAACATATCCTGCATGCTCAACTTTAATGTTACAAGGACCGTGGCCAGAGACGCAATTGTGCCGGGCACGATGGCATCCGCACAGAAAAAATGTTTAGTTTAAACTTTTCTTTTTGTTTTTGTTTTAACAGATTAACAACATAATATTACAGTCATAACATAAGTCCAAGATCAATAGTTTTTGCACGGATGCCATCAGGTTCAATGCAATTGTGTCTATGGCCATAACTCTCGTAACAATAGATTGAGTGGGCAGGGCATTTTTCAACACGCATGGCAATGAGCGCGACAGAGTGGGCATCATGAATACATGCACGATCTATAGGAAATATTCAGAACTAGCATACAGAACTGAAAAAGACTGAACATGATTGAAAACATGAATGTTCGCATTCTACTTTGCAATGAAGCCAATCCTATCGTGACTTTTACATCGTCCCGCGGAAGTAATAACTCTGCAGGCATCTTGTATTTTTTGGAACAAAACAAAGTTTTCAGAACAGAAGGAGAACGCAAGTTTATCCCCGTTGTAAGGAAGTTTTCAATATGAATGCTAAGATTTGGACTTCCCATGGTGATGGGAGGGGGAAGAGGGATGGGAGAACAGGCAAATGCGCCGCAGGATATCCCGACCGGGAATTTTTCACATCAACATCCCCACGTGTTTGTATCTTTCCTTCTCTATTGACGTAGTGAGAGCAGCACCTGGTAGTTCTCATATACTTATATTCAGTGTGCGGTTTCATTTTTCTCTCATGGTTGAATGGAAGAAAATGACGCAATGACAATGAATGAATGAAAAGTAGCACCCTTATGGAAATATCTGTCTCCTCAAGTTCAAATATTTGGTCGCCTTACGAAACTTTGCTGGAAATGCTCAAAATACAGTTGCAATCCTCTGTTGCTGGTTCTTGGAGTTGGCGCCGTCATGCCTTGATGTGTTTTCTACTAAGTTGCGAAGTTACCTCTAGCCGGTTACGTTTCGATATGTTGGTGGTCATTACAGGTGCAGCGGAACATATTGTCGGGAATGGGGCATCCGGACTATGTTCTTCCCCGGGGAAGGGAGCATGAGAAGGAAGAAAGGGAGAGAATCGTGCAGAATCTCAAATTGTTAAAGAGTAGGTAGCCTGTTTTATTACGAAGAGACAAGCCACGACTGAAATGGAATAACTAACTACTTGTAAGGTAAAAGTTCACTTGAGTATTCCGATGCAGCTCTATATTGGCTTTCACATGAGTCCAAAACTCGTTTTTAGCGCAATTTGGGCAAAATGAAGCTTTTTCACCCATAGGGTCACTTTTCCTTTTTTCATGGGATCTAACTTTGAGGCTCAATATCTTCACAACCGTTTGTGCTAGAGCGCTGAATTTTTTTTCTAGAACTCGTGAAGGTCAAAATGCGTGAATTTCCTCAATCAAATAACTATCGATCACGCGCCCAATAGCCTGGTCACTTGAACTGGAATGCCTCAAGGATGGTAGGGATTAGCAGATTCAAATTTTTATTGCCGGAATATAAAACTTATCGTTTTTTTAACGTTGAGCACCGTTAACCGTGACATTTACCTTTTCAACTTTCAACAAACTTTCAGCAATTTTTATATTTGGGGCTTCATACTAATTTCAATGGTTGAAATTTTAGCCGATGCAGATCATTGTGGTTTGTTTTACTGAAGTGAAATTGTTATGCTAATTTTGAATTCTCCACTCAATTGTGAGCGAATTAACTCAAGGCTCTAGCACAAGTAGTTTTTTTCTTAGTTACACTGATGGTGACATTAAGTGTTGACCGCCAAGTAGAATTGGACATATGGGCCCGATGAGGCTGAAATGTGGTATTTCCGGGTTTCGTGGTATATTAAGTCTGTTAGTCAAATTTCATCAAAGTCAGATATGGTCAGGTGTTAATTTGAAAGAAAGGGCAATATTTCATGGAATGACTCACTTGTCAGTACATAGAACACTAGCATGTGAACAACGGAAAACCCACACTTTATTCATGAAGGCCTTTTCAAACATTTCGACATTTCAAACCTTGTCAAAAACTATGATGACTCTTCTCCGTAAGTTATGGACTTGTGGATCTCCTCATGGTAATCTCATTCTAGGCCTGTTGAATGCTGGCTCTCTCATCGGCTATAAAGTGATTCATCTGGGATCATTCGATTGCCGAGTTAGACATTTAACGCCAAGGAAAACATGAGCTTATCGCCATACCGCGCTTGTACAGCAGCATCTCCTTCCGAACTGTGAGCGATATGAAGAATTTCGAGGTGTCTCACAGAAACAGGCGCCGTAGGTGAATACGGGTGGCGAGAAATACGAGGTATACAGTCTTCTTGGTGCCGAGTGGAAAGGTAGATGGATAACGTGTGTGATGTGGTGTCTACTTCAAGTGGAAGTTGAAAAATGAAAGAAGAATTTTCGGGGTGTTTTGTGCGCCACCCAGTGAAATAAAACATTCGCTTCCAATCTTAATAAACGTCTACGGCCGAAATTTCAGCCCGTTTCTGTACGACAAAGGGTATTCCAAGTGAAAGTGATATGGGAAATGAATTCAGTGGTAATACAGGTACTAGAAGGCAATAGAAATGAACCGATTGCAGAATTATCTACAGGGTGGTTCCATTTCAAATCAGGCAGGGTCACGATTTTTGTGTCAGGTCATAGTCTTGGATTTTTTTCAAAAAAATATATGTGATCCCCCCTTTCAAATGATGGAAAGTGGTATCTTATTTACCTCTATATCTGCAATAGTTTCGGAGAAAAAAATTCACAAGTGCAGTGCTCTAAAAAGTGCAACTTGTGAAATTCCTGTTTTCTCAGACTTTCAATTTGCTGTATCTCCCAAAGTAATAGGCATAGAATCCGGAAAATTTTTTCTCGCATATTTGAATGTACGTCTTGTGGAAGCATTTGAGAAAAACCTAAGTTATAATTTTATAAATACGTAATTTTGAATTTAAAAAAGTGACGAAACTGCTGAATTTGCTGNTTTTTTTCACCCATTTTTCGGAAATTGACAAAAGTTGCACATTAATATTAAATTAAGCATTAATGATTTAAATGCCAAATGACAACAAGAGATGCACAAATGTATGTAGTTCATGAAAATATACTTGATTCAAGATGGGATACAAATTTAGCTGGCAAAAAAATTCAGCAAAAACCAGCAAATTCAGCAGTTTCGTCACTTTTTTAAATTCAAAATTACGTATTTAATTAATTATATCTTAGGTTTTTCTCAAATGCTTCCACAAGACGTACATTCAAATATACGAGAAAAAATTTTCCGGATTCTATGCCTATTTGGGAGATACAGCAAATTGAAAGTTTGAGAAAACAGGAATTTCACAAGTTGCACTTTTTAGAGCCCTGCAATTGTGAATTTTTTTCTCCGAAACTATTGCAGATATAGAGGTAAATAAGATACCACTTTCCATCATTTGAAAGGGGGGATCACATATATTTTTTTGAAAAAATCCAAGACTATGACCTGACACAAAAACCGTGACCCTGCCTGATTTGAAATGGAATCACCCTACATTCATTACATGAAATCCATTAGTGGAGTGAAACGAGCTGGACGAATACGGAATCAAGGATTTTATTCATGATTCTTTGGAACCATTTTGGTCCTCCTAGATTCAATGGGAACCGGTGGTATCTGACTAATACGGAGCCAGGTTGAATAATCGCCAGGCATGGGGGGATTCATCTTGATACAAAATGTTTCAAAGACACTTGGATCCAGTTCATCGAAATATGGGCCATTCTGGCACTGTCCGTGAACCCTGGCGAGGAAGTCTGGATTCAGAACAATCCAGGCCATGCTGCAGACGCACTGAATGGGATTATCTATATTCCATGGGAGAAAAATGGAAATGCCAAGTTAAGGAAGGAGGAGGAACTACGATGATACTCACAGTTTCGAGCGTTTCTTTCCTTCAGAAAAACAGAATGTGCATATTGAAAGAACAGTGGAAATGTGATCGTTTAAGTGAAGCGCGCACCATGCGCAAAGAAGCTTATTGCGCAATACTAGAACATATGATTTCCCTTTGTACAGACAAACATATTCGCCCGACTGTGATCTTCACGACCTTAGAGTAAAATTCTAAGCTGGAATTACTCTGAGAGAAAGCTGCTGAAATTATGAAGGAACCTGGAAGAATTTCAAATTCCCCTTTAAGGATAGGATCCCATATTCTGTTTTGACCGATCATTCAACATCTTGTTGAATTCTTGCGTCCGACCTTTCATTTCATTAACGGAATTATGCTCGGATGTTTTCCAGTAGGTGCAATTAGGAATTACATGTTCGGTTTGTTGCATCAACTCATTTTCCGTGATATTGTACAGGAGAGTATCTTTTTCAAATACATTTTTAGGACCAAAATTATGATCTTGCCTACAATTCTTATCTCATCTCATCTAATGTGCATGGTAATTTTCCACGATTCTCAATCGATATTCAGAGACAGCTTTTTGTTGGTCCAGTTAGCTCTTCATTGGTAAGAAAAATCATGGAACTCACCATACAGATCAATGAATCCATATCCTAGTGAGAGGTCTTCTAGAATTGGGCGAAAGGATTCCTCTCTCAGTTCCTCAATCTCATTGCCCCATAGATCAAGGTGAGCGTGAGCAGAAAGACCTGGATTTAATGAAGAGAATAACACGAGGAACCTAGACTGCATAAACAACATGATAATGCTGTTAGTAATTTCTTGTTTTTGTTTATGAGTCTTTCCAGAAACTCCCCTTACCCAGCTGATCGAATCTGAGCAAAACGGGTATCGATGGAGAGCTCAAACTCTCAAAATGTAAATTAATTTTTATTCCGTCGCAACTCATTCTAAAAATGTAAATTTCACTGTACGCTCGCAAACATCCTATCGGCTAGGCGGCTTGATAGCGTGTTTAGTTCCCGTGACTTAGGAATTAGGCTCGAAATAGACCTCGTCACGCAAACCTTTCTTTTCTCAGTGCAGACCCCGGATTGTTCGAGAAAGGAGACCCACAAGTACGAGTCCCTCACGTTTCGATATTCGGGACGCTAAAGAACCTCTGTTGAACTGGTGAAGGCCAAACCCAGATGTAATTTCCCCAGAGGACACAACGAACCTTAAGTTGGGTCTGCAACTCCTTGAAATTATTTGGGCAATCTTAAACAAGTATATATTAGGTTTGGGCTAAATTGTGAAGAAGAACATTTTTAAATTTTAGAGCGATGGCTCATGCACAGGATTCGTAGGTAAATCAGGTACAATCGGTTTCTAATTTATTTTCCCCATAAATTTGTTTCAGCAGATTCAGCTGCATACTTTCATGGGTAAAATGATTAGAAAGTTTCGCTAGTCCAAAGGAATTCATTGAAATTGACCTGCTATGGGACCCCCTTGCACCTGCATTAAATTGTTTTTTTTTCGATTGAAGAATTTTTCCCTAACTTACACACAATAATCCAATAAACAGACTTCAACTTGGCTCAAGTGTTATAAAAATCCAACATTTGCACATTTTACATTTTTGATGCAGGTTTGAGTGGCCTCGTGACCTTGTTGCTATTGACATAACAAAGAATCATTTAAAGAGGAGTCGTTAGAGTCCTTTGATTTAAAAGAACGAATGTCATGTAGTTAAGAAGAAGTAAATAAATTTACTCACTCTTACTATTCCAGAGCATTTTCCGAGTTGCTGCCCGGGGCAGATATTCTGCAGGTCAAACCTTAAAATTATAATTTAAGAAATATTTGCAGGTTTTTATTATCTCTCCTACATGCCTAATTTCATTAATGTCAGATATATTCACTTTCCCAAAATGTCAATTTTAGCAGGATTTTCTCTTGCACGCGCTGTTGAAAGTCTGAGCGTTTACTTATTCCAGTTCATTTTTTAACAAGGCATGTCTAATGCACCTGTGATGGCTCCTGGTTCCACGAATGTGATGTTATCATATTCGAGATGCAAATGTTCCAAGGCCGCACCAGGAAACTCCATTGACCCGGCAGCAAGAGTTGGTCCCAGTTTGCACGATATGCAATCGAATATAACGATGTTTTCCAAGCCGTCAAAAAAACCAGTAGGGAGCTCCGAGATGGGATTATAGCCTGGATGAGGAGGAAGAAGGCTGGTATGAGCCACATGTATTCGCATGTTATATCTTCAATATCCACTTTCCTGCACCTGAGCTCTTTTCAATACTTGGAATAGTACGCACTTTTTTCTGAATCACTTTATTGCATGGTTCTGTTATTAACAGTTTGCATCTATTGGAATTCTACAAAGCACAATGTCACTGACACTACAAAGGGCCTGTACAGTAGCGCCTGTGCTAAATCACGAGTAGCCCTTTTTCCGCCCAAAATAATCCCTTCCTCGGAAATGATAAAAACGTTCGGATAGAGGAAAATGAGCCTGATTAGAGCGGAAACTACAAGGATTGAA